CGGAAAATCAATTAACAAACGGAGACGTAACAATATTAAAATGACCCTTCAATACAATAGTAAAAAATAAACCCTTTACCATCATTACAACATAAAATGAAAATATTGTTCATACAGATGCATTGAAATACAAAATAATAATACAACCCTTTAAACTGGCTCTTTGAAACTACGCTGTAATGAAGTATGCATTATGTAAACAAGTTAAAGCATTTAACACTAATCACACTAAATTATAGATACGAAAGTATTATTAAAATTTACACGCACATATATATATATAATTAATTGCACATCACCCAAAAAGACACATCTACAAAAACTGCAGCTACAATACAAAACTAGTGAATAAATCTTCATAAAAATAATAATTGTGATAAAAAGTACATGCCTGATTACTCACCGTAACTTTAGAACTCCTGTATTCAGATCAAGAGACAAGTTTCGTGTCTTTATAACAGATCTTTTAGGAACGAGTGTAGACTCAATTGTGGAACACGCTGGCACTTGTACAACGTATTAAGTAAAAACAGCAGTGTTCGTCGTGATTTACCATAATGTTTGACTACACTATACACCATTCCAAGAGTAACCTCCATAACAAAATTGAAGTACAATTTGTTTTTCTTTTCACTACCTTGGTAGGAAACTCACTTCAGTTTGATGATTCGATTGTCTCGTAGTAAGTCATACCATAGGAGTAATTTCCAATATCTTGGAAAACAGTCTAAGAAACTTCCCATGATCGGTCATGTTCCTAGCTTGGAATTATAGAAGCCTTAATTGCCTTTCTGAAATAGATATAAGGCACTTCTTGTGGCAATTCAGGTCCCTAACCAGGAGTTACAAAAGCTATGGCTCTTTTCACCTTCACATCTTTACCTTCCATGACCTACTGTAGCATCAGATGAAATCAGCACATTGAAGAATCCTGCTAGCAAAATATCTTCCTTTACAAGCTCAAGGTCAGCTGTAATAAGGCCAAAACATCCCTAAAGGTTTCAAGATACTCCTTAATGTCATCGAGTTGTATGCATCCTTCTATGGGAACTCGAATAGACTTGGAGGTCTCAGCACACAAGAATGAAAACTAGACTGGCTAGTTGAAGAAGAAACTACCCAGAATGGTCAAGAAATCGATATTGCATAGCGAAATTCCAAATTGAAAATGCAAGGTTGGATGTGTAGATTGAAAAAGGGTCAGAACTGCTTCGTTACAACTAGTGCTCCTTTCTGAAAACTACCTTTAAAGAGAATAACATATATATTTCCTTGCTTAAGTGATATTTTTATAAGGTTCACGTGTTCTCATACGTGAATCGCCCGTAGAACTCCCGTCTCTAATGCCCATGAACTTAATGGTCCACAGACTTCATTGAGTCTCTGCTTCATTAATACCTTATTAGCTGTGCTGACCCCTGTTGCCATTCTCGTGACAACAGCAAACACGCTTATCCTTCGACCTAGATCCATTCCACTACTGCCTAGTTATGTAAATATTAGCTAGTTCCAGTAGGTAAGGAATGGAGTTAAGACTGAAGAACTGAATACTACACATGAGATGGTCCTACATTGGCTCATCGGTAAATCTGAAGGTTTATAACGCTAAAAATCGGGTATAGACACTTATAGTGGGCCAACGCAGATAGTACATTGTGTAGCTTACTTTAAAAAACAACAACAACAATACATGAGTTGACTCGGATTAGCAGACACCAACCACTACTACTAACCGTTAGAGTTTAGTAATGCTTATATCATTTCTTCTCTATGACTTTCTTCCAGGTACAAGTTAAGTATTAGATAGTTCCCGTTTTTCAAAGTTTCATCCCACTGATGCTTCTCTCTGTCCTCTTCTAATACACTTAGAGCCTGCATTTTCATGTATATTATACTGCACTTTGTACTGTAACAGTGGTAAGAAATATCTAGAAAATTGTTTGCTTGCAAAATATTTCAATTCGCATTAGTGCAAATATTCAGTTATTACAAGTAAAACACTTGGAACATTAATTTTATATTTCGTGTGATATATAGGCTACTGTTTGTGAATTTCATACTCACTCTTCAATTTGATCCAAATGAAATATTTTGCACTTAAGATGAATTGTAATTCTCTCCACTATTCTCATTCTATCATGAATAATTCACTATCTGCGAATATTTTGATTTCGAAATTGAAACATTCACCAGTATTAATGAACACAACAGGTTCATATATATGTATTGTACATTATTACACTGATAGCTTATAAGGGACTGCCTTCAGCTCCTGCTCAAATTACTTCGTAACCTCTCGGGTTTATGTTCAAAGCTACTGCTCGGTAGCTGTGATCTAATAAAGTGGTGCCACGAG